TATACCCGCATTGTTACGGGGGGACGCGATGTTATGGCACCGGAACAATCGCCAATACTGGTCCGCGTGAGAAACGTTCCGGCAAGATTTCATCGCTCAATTTTGCCCGCAACCAGAAAAAACCGCCGCGCTGCGTGAAATCTACTCCCGCACCCAGAAACCCGGCGAAACATACGCACAGTACGCCACAGCCCTACAAACGCTCATGCGTCGCGCAGGGAATTTCGGAGAGCGGGCGCAGACCGATCTGCTTTTCGCCAATCTCCATCCGGATTATAAAATCTACATCCGGGAGGATGCCGCGAACCCCCGCGCCCTGCAGGCACGAGCGACCGAATACGAGGGGATCCAACGACAGCGACAGACGCTACGAGCTACCGAACATCGGGGGGAAGTCACCGCGAAAGCTAGCCGCACAGCTGCAACCGCGTATAACCCCCGCGATCACTGTTGGCGATGCCGACAACGCGGGCATACCCGCTTCGAGTGCCGACGACCGCCCGTTCGATTCTGCTCACAATGTGGAAAAGAGGGGGTATTTACCCGCGATTGCCACCCGCTGGGAAACGCCAACAGGATCGAGAATATCGCGGCCGCGTCTCGATCCCAATAAATTACACTCCGCGGCCGCACCTGACCGTATACGTGCACGATCGACCGATCAAGGCGATGATCGATACCGGATCCGAGTTATCGTTTATCGATCAAAAGACCGTGCGTTCTCTAGAACAACTCCGCTTCATGCCGACTGCCGAGCACGGTCAGGTGCGACTCGCGGACGGGACGCAGGTCAGCACCACCGGCACTATTCGCGTACCGTTAAAATTATCTCGTCGCGTCACATGGCATACCTTCCGCATCCTACCGCAACTCGACAGCCATGATCATCGGAATGGACGTATGGGCGGGATCGGAAATTGTCTTGCGACCACCGCCGCCGTACTCACATACCTACGGAACAACGCCGACCAAGCAGAGTTGTCCGATCTCGGAGGACGAACAACTCCGAGTGTTCCTCGAGGAGGAAGTAGGTAAATTCGACCACGTCAGGGGACCAACCGAGTTAATTGAGCACCGCGTTAAGCTCGTCGATCCCGCGCCGATTAAGCAAAGATACCGACCGCGGAATCCGGCAATGCAAGCGATCATTGACGCGGAGGTCGATCAAATGCTGCAGGACGGCATAATTGAGCCATCAACCAGCGCGTGGAGCTCTCCGATCGTGGTGGTCCGAAAAAAAGACGGAAAAAACCGATTCTGCATCGATTTCCCTCCCTTCTTATTCGGGGGCTCGAGCCATGCTTGATGCAATCTCTCCTGTCGTGCTCCAGGAGGATTATTTGTATATTTGCCAATGGCGTTGGAGGGTGTCGCCGCTGCAGTCCGACCTGCATCCATCGAGAGAATAGGACCATCATCTCTCTGGAGTACCGGTCGTGGGGATTCGAAAGAATACATGTATATGTGTATATTGTAATATATATATATATATGTATCATTGTATTGTTGACGTGTTATTCTAAACACGTTATTTGCGATAAATATCATCACATGCCTCGGTAGTCGAAAGGATAAGATGCCTGCCCGGTAAGCAGGAGATCCAGGTTCGATTCCTGGCTGAGGTGGTATTTTTTCGCAAAATAATTACGAGTTTTCACGACTGGTTCGTGGTCGGGCCCCGCCGTGACGCACACCCTCCCTTCTTATTTTTCTTTTTAAAGTAAATTCCGTCACCGAGCGTGACGCATATCCGTTGCCACAAATTTCCGCCACGCTGGACAAACTGCGCGGAGCGAGATACCTGTCTACCATCGACCTGAAGAACGGTTATTGGCAGGTACCCCTCGCTGCCAGCAGCAGACCGATCACCGCATTCACCGTACCAGGCCAAGGGCTAATGCATTTTCGGGTCATGCCTTTCGGCCTGCATTCCGCTCCGGCAACGTTCCAGCGATTGCTCGATCGCGTAATCGGGCCCGAATTAGAGCCCCACGCGTTTGCTTATCTGGACGACATTATCGTTGCCAGCCGGACATTTGCCGAATACCTGCAGCATCTGCGCGAAGTCTTCCGCCGACTACGGGCAGCCCGACTCCGCATAAATCGCGATAAGTGCCGATTCTGCGTACCAGAGTTACGATATCTCGGACATATCGTGAATCGCGACGGAATAAAAACCGACCCCGAGAAAACAACCGCGATCGCCGACTGGCCTACTCCACAGACCGTAAAGCACATCCGACAATTTCTCGGGGTGGCCTCCTGGTACCGACGGTTTATCAAGAATTTTGCCACCGTCGCCGCACCGCTAACTACGCTGACACGGAAAAACACGCGATGGAAATGGGGGGAGGAGGAACAAGGCGCCTTTGACGCGCTGAAAAATAATTTAACGACCGCCCCAGTGCTGGCCTGCCCCGATTTCGAACGGCCGTTTACTCTGCAAACCGATGCGAGTACCATCGGCCTCGGGGTCGTACTCACGCAGTATTTTCCGGAGGGGGAACGCGTCATCGCATACGCGAGTCGGACACTGAACGGCGCCGAAAAAAATTATAGCGCGACCGAACTAGAGTGCCTCGCCGTCGTCTGGGGAATTCGGAAAATGCGCGGATATCTGGAGGGCTACCGCTTCACGGTAATCACCGACCATCAAGCATTAAAATGGTTGCAGCAACTTGAATCACCGTCCGGCCGACTGGGACGGTGGATGTTCGAACTGCAACAATACGCGTTCGAAATACGATACCGGAAAGGCGCGTTGAACCGGGTGGCCGACGCGTTATCTCGGCAACCCGCCGTCTCCGCCATATCACATCCCCGCTGCCAATGGTACCGCCGCACATGGGACAGAGTGACGCGCGATCCCGACCGTTTTCCGGATTTCACGATCCGTGATGGACGATTGTACCGCCATGTACTCCACACATTAGACTTCCACGACGT